TTTAATGGTTTATGTTTGAATGTTTACTGGAGCTAAGAAGTGTTTTTATACGGCACTTACTGACCGTAACTGTGAAACCCATATTCTTCTCCCTCTGAGTGGAAGTTTGTACCTGCAGAAGTAAAAGGGGACACTAATTAAGCTAAATCTGTGAAGTATAATTATGGTCACTACTAGGACCAAAAAAACCTATGGCAAGATAAAAAAGGCTTCCAAAAAGCCAAATCAGAAATCAATAGCAGATTTCTGTGTGGCCTCAGATTTCATCAGCCAATGTGACCATACTTCCTCTTATAATCAAAGGCCACTGAGGGAATTTACATCAAGTACCCCACTTACTACGGAAAATGTAGGCATAAGTAATGGAGAGACATACCAGGGGGTTGCAGTCGGACCTCCGCACTCTGGAGGAGAAATCGGCAATTGGTCTCTGGACCCAGAACTCCTAGAGAAGGCTCTCTCTGCCTCTACGGAATCATTCTATAAACATCTAAATCTATCAGCACCTGGGCCCAAGGAGAACCATATGGAAGGAAACGTAGGTCCCCAAGATGCTCAAGGGCCTGAGAGTGAACAAACTAGGAGTATTTACACCCAACTACGTGATCAGTGCTTCCTCTCAGCTAAATCCAACCAGACAATTTTCAATAAGCTGCATGATCTAAAGAAAGAAATTGCTGATATTAAAGCAATACTACAATGCATTGCTGACATGATAAAGTTGGGAATTTTAAAAGCAGCACCTCCCTCAAACCTTCAGAATACTGAACAGAAAGGACTTCAGGCAAAAAAGGAGCTGGGCACAAAAGATCAAACACAAAAAGATAACTCCCCAGCCTTTAAAGGTCAGAGTTACCCACAGCTATCGGAAAAAACAACTCAGGACCAAATGCCCATCTCCGGGATGACCCTAAAGGCTTGGGCAGACCCATATGACCGAAGTGAGGACCCAGAGGGACCTGACCTAACATCCTCCAATCTAGACCTAATAACCATAGATGAATGGTGGGGAAACACCCAAGAAGAACCCTATCCTCAGCATCCACTTCCTGTGACACCTGTGCAAGAAAATTATACAGAAAGAAAACCCCCAACGGTCAGCAACCTCAGACAGTGAAGAGTCCACCCCGGTTGAAACCCCATCATCCAAGCCCATGAACCATATCACTTTATTTATCCCAGTGAGCCCGGGCAACTAAGAGGCAGGGTGCACATGATCTTCGCCAATAGTAAACAGGCCCATCATTTTTGGAGCCTGTTATACAAGTTTGAAAAAATAGCAGTGTCATTCAAATGGGGAATACATACAGATTATTCAAATATCAACTTCAGATCAATCACAAAATTGGATACCCACAAATTAATACATCCAGAGAAATTCAGGTTCCAGAACAAAGAGATAGCCCCTCAGCTGCTTCCATAAGGAAGATAACAGCTGAAAATACCACCTATGACCTGTATAGATACAGGGCTGAAGCTTCCATCATTTGCAGCAGATCACCTTCCAAAACCAAATCAGATGGCAGAGGAAAGGAAACGCACACCAATTTTGCAACCTTTCCAAACAATATCCCAATTAACAAGCCCCGTGATCCTACATGCAAAATAAAAAACCAGAGTAATCAGGTGAAAATGCTCTCAAGGCCAAGGCATCTTTCAAGAGGTATTATATCCTCCAGAAATGATAGAACATGCCATCCATACAAAGAGAAGATACATCCAGCCTGCACAATTGGAACTATTTCTGACTCCACCTCTGAGTGGCATATGGGCAATAGATATGCCCCTTTAGTAGCTTATCCCCAGAACTGACTATTGGAAGTAAAAAAACAAAAACATTTGAAGAAGTCTTCACCCTGGAATACTGCATGGGGGAAACGAAGTCCAACTTCACAAAGATTCCAACAACGACTACGTACCCAGGTAGAGCTGAAAGATCTTCTTTTAGTAGAGAGACACAAAGAAATCAAAACAACAAAGACTGGGCCCATAAAGATTATCCTTTACCCACACCAGCTGCTCCCCTCACCTACAGAGGATGTCAGTCATCAGATCTATCCCAGCCTGCTCTGGAGAAGCTAATGATATACAAGGAAGGGAACCCCATTAAAATTCTCTCTGCCACAAGAGGGGAAATGACCCCAAAGGCAGAAGAACTGAACATTCAGGAGCGAAATGAGGCACCAGACACTTAAGTATGGCGGTGTGCTCCAGAAAGCAACCAAAAATCTGCATCTAAAGTTGAACTTTTATCATGGAATGTGGCAGGTTGGACCAGATGTATCTCCCATACCCATGATACTCCTTTCTTTCGCAGCAAATATGACATTATTCTTTTGCAAGAAACATGGTCTGACAAAGATATAATACTAGATGGTTTCGACTCTTTCATGGTAAAGGGGAGACTGAGGGGGGGGGCTGAGCATTCTGGTATCAACGACTCTGAAAGTGAAACCTACGACGAAACTCCCCTTGAGACAACTGGCCATGGCAGTAGTACTTGCAGGAAGTATAAAAACCCTATTGATCATTAAAATATACTTACCTCCTGCATCTAGAAAAGCAGAAACAGAAGAAAATTGGACAGACCTTGAAAACTATGTAACAGAGCTTATCATGGAACATCCGGATGCTTTGGTCCTGACTGGTGGGGATCTAAACGTCTGTATGGGACCAGATGATGACTATCTGGGAACCAAATTTAAGATGATAGCCAACATAAGAAATGATAATGTGGGGAACCTGAATCAGGAGAGGGCATCTAAAGATCAACATGCAAACTATGCTGGGGCCTGTCTGTACAAATTTGCCTATAGACTGGGCCTCTCAGTTTTAAATGGCACAATCACAGGTGATACCCCAGGAAAATACACATTTATGGCAGCATCTAAAGCTAGTACAGTTGACTACATCCTGGTGTGCAGCGGGCTCCTTTCCATGGTTGAAACTCTCCAAGTACAGTACTGCCTTACATGGAGGGGGATCATTTCCCCCTACATCTAAGATTCCACCTAAACATTAGAAATTTAGACACAGAACCAAGATATCATACTGAAATTACAGCATTAGAAAGAGTGGGTTGCCAAGTAAGATGGTCACCTAAACTGGCACAAAATCTAAAACAACTTTTAACTTCGAAAAATCTGATTGACGCCCTTAATTCAGTAGGAAGCCAGTCAGTCCACCGGAATCCTATAGATATATATGAAATTCTCTTACAACAGCTAAATCCACATCTTGTCCATTCATATAGCAGAAATCTTCAGAAATCATATAACCGATCCAAACCTTGGTTCAACCAAAGCTGTAAGGCAGCAAAACAATTAGTAAATCAGACATACCAGGAATACCTGAGAGCAGAAGACCATGTCAAAAAAGAGGCCCTCCTAAAACTAATGATACATAAAAAAGAATACAAACAGCGGATACAACACAGTAAAAGAGAACACATGAGAGAACTAAGGAGGAAGGTGATAGAGACTATAACCCCCTTAATAGATTCACAGAACGTTCGGAGGAAAATAGGCTTGAGTTCCTTCTCTCAGATGTTGATGTGCAGATCACCTGTTGGGTTGCGAGGTTCTGTGTAGCAATACTTCGACTGAGGAAGTTAAATACCAATTAGATTGCAGTTCCCAGTTGTTTGTATGCCAACATATTCTAATGGAATATTGAAAGTTAGAAATCTTAATGTTTTACTGTATAAGGTTTTATACTTATGTGACTGGTCTAAGGACCGTAAATAAACTATTGTTGTTGTTGTTGTTGTTCTTAGAATGTAATAGATAGGGCAGACCATAGTAAACAATTTGTCTTTATTGATGTTCATGTTTTTTTTTTCTCTTCATGAAGCTGCTCTGGACAATTCCACAAGGAGTTTCCTATGAAAGTGCTGCAGCACTACCTGTTTCCTATGGGACAGCCATTTTAGCCCTTGAACATAGAGCTCAAACAAAGCCAGGGTGAGTGAGGTACCCAGATTTTCACAGTCTCCACTGTTAAGTCTTAGGATAACTGGCCAACAAAATTCTGTGTCCTTTTGCAATCAGGGGCTGCCATGAGACTTTCTCTTAGGTGAAAATACTACTGAAGTGCAACTTTTGAGGAAAGGTTAGTGTAATGTTCTGGAGTTGAAGTAGGTTTTATATAAAGCTGTGTAGAGCCATTTTGTTTTGTTTTATATTGAGAATGTCAAGGTTTTGGTCTGCGTTTTGGAGATTTGTTGTTTTCTGAAAGAAAGAATAGTTGTATTAAGTGTGAATCTCATACTTTGAAGAAGTCACGCTAGTTGAGGCAGGGTTTCATTGCAGCAAGAACTGGTCAGGTTTCAGGCAAGCTCCTGAAACTGACTGGGACCCCTGGGTTCCGGCTCCCCCAAACGGGGAGGGGGGAGGACACTGCTAGGAGAAGCGATGTCTGAAGCAGCAGAGATGACAAAAGGGGGGAATGGGACCAGGAAAGGCTGGTTCTTCCTCTGATGTCGCATCTGAGTGCACAGATCAAGGAGGAAGACATCTTGGCAAAGAGCTGGGAACACCCCAAGTTGAGAATAAGCGAGTGCAAATGGATGTTGGAAATATCTCAACCAGAGCCTCTGAGTAAGTTAAAATATCTGTTCATGTAAGGAAAATCTCCATGGACCCAAATAACTACACAGAAAAGAGATAGATATGAAGAGTTAGGAAAATGGAGTTTACTCTTTAAAAAAAAATTATGGTAGAAGTGAGCCCCCCCCCCCCCCCAAGAAGGGGTAGAAAACTATCTTGCCATGAAAGTAGAGCAATTTAAGATAAAAGCCTTGCTCCTGTGGCTATCTGAAATATCAGTATTAAATCCTACTTACTTTAAAACACCATGGAGCCTTTAAATTTTTATTGATGTGATTTGCAACCTTGAGAAATTTCTACCCAGAGGGAAGCTCCATCCCCTTCTTGGATGAGACATGTAAATAAGACTGAGAAAGGAAAGTAAGTTTACAGTAACATCTGCTGATAGAAGATTTTGTCAGGAACGCATCTCTTTAGAGAAGTCGGTCCATTAGGGGAAGGAGCCAGTTGGAGTTCCTAGCATCCACCTTTCCATTCTAGACTGGGTGAGATCTAGTAGGTGTGTGAGTAGGCAACTATGGGGAAGCTTCTGTCCCTAGATTTCCAATTACTCACTTATTTGAGCTTACAACTCTTTATCTGTGTTCTTTGGTCCTTGCACACCGGCCTTACTTCTAGACTGGGTGAGATCTAGTAGGTGTGTGAGTAGGCAACTATGGGGAAGCTTCTGTCCCTAGATTTCCAATTACTCACTTATTTGAGCTTACAACTCTTTATCTGTGTTCTTTGGTCCTTGCACACCGGCCTTACTAGGTTGTTGTTTAGTTGTTAAGTCGTGTCCGACTCTTCGTAACCCCATGGACTAAAGCACGGCAGGCCCTCCTGTCTTCCACTGCCTCCCGGAGTTCGGTCAAATTCATGTTCATAGCGTTGATGACACTGTCCAACCATTTCGTCCTCTGTTGTCCCCTTCTCCTCTTGCCCTCACATATTCCCAACTTCAGGGTCTTTTCTAGGGAGTCTTCTCTTCTCATCAGATGGCCAAAGTATTGGAGCCTCAGCTTCAGGATCTGTCCTTCCAGTGAGCACTCAGGGTTGATTTCCTTCAAAATGGATAGATTTGTTCTCTTTGCAGTCCAGGGGACTCTCAAGAGTCTCCTCCACCACCACAATTCGAAAGCATCAATTCTTCGGCAGTCAGCCTTCTTTATGGGCCAGCTCTCACTTCCATACATCGCTACTGGAAAAACCACAGATTGGACTATGCAGACCTTTGTCAGCAAGGTGATGTCTTGCTTTTTAAGATGCTGTCGAGGTTTGTCATCGCTTTCCTCCCAAGAAGCAAGTGTCTTTTAATTTCATGGTTGCTGTCCTCATCTGCAGTGATCATGGAGCCCAAGAAA